GCTCCTTAATCTCAAAAAGAGCATGCAAACAATCCCAGCAATCTCAGATTTCACCGCTAGTCTGAATAAGCGCATTTTACGAGTTCCTTTATAAGGGAACTAGTGAACAGGTGTGGCCGAGGTCTTGATGTCGCTAGTCCATCAATGTCGTGAGGTCGGCATTGCTTTGCCGGAAGATGGATGGGGTTGGGACAGATATTGGCTTCAAACACGCGTTGTACGGCTACATGGATAGGCATGTGGACCTGGCAATTATGAAGCCGAGCAGGGTGCGTAGGGGGGAGGCTGTAAAGTGCTAGTCATCTATACTAGTCGTCGTCTACTTGCATGAGTGTCTGGCAGCAAGCGATTGCTATCTGACAATTATCCAGTTCGGCCCTCTGCACTCAAGTGATGTGTGGGAACGCGCTATGTCGGACTGATAATGGACTTTCGACATACCGCCGTAAACCATTGATGTTCTTGCAGAGAAATGTACAATCGACTGTCAACACGGGGGAACGGTACAGGACGATTGCACTTGCAAATGCGGCTATGGATTTACTGGAAAAAAGTTAGTAGGATAGTAACAATTTGTTACAGTTGGTTTCTATATACTTTTTGCAGTTGTGAAAAGCTAACGAAACAAGCTTCATTCACCGATTCATCTTGTGGAATTATCAATGCCAACGATGATGGTGTCCTGAATTTGTCTACATTTCCCGAACCACGTGAAAAGACAACTTTCTGCCAGTGGCTTCTTGAGGTGAGCAAAATTTAATAAGCTTCAATTAAACAATCGATTTGTAGAAAAATGTATTACGCGCTACTTGAAGCACTTTAGAAATTTAAATGCTATATCGACTGGCTTCCTATACTTTTCTTAGTCCAATGTTTTTTTTTTCTGAGTCAGGTCACATCTAGAAAGACTTCAGTACGATTAAGAGCAAGTCACCAACTAAGTTAAGATCGATGGTCCCTTTAGAACTACATTTTCTTTAATTTATTGCGACACGAAATTTAGAACTGAAGTAAGAAAACCTTGAAAACGTGTCACATTCTTTTTTGCCTATTATA